GTGTTCTTTAGATCCTCAGATGGCTCTAGCACTTTCGTGACCACGGGCTGAGAGTCTTTGCTAGATTTTGGCATTTAGCAACTGACATACGGTTTAATGTGAAGACAACAACAACAACAACTGCTGACCCTTGGGGTCCTTCCGGAAGGCTACCCCCCAGGCTGGTGGTGCGCACGTTCCACTATATATTTATTTTTGTTTCTGATTCTTTTGTTTTCTTGTATTTTATCGCTCTGCTAACCCTTGGGGTCCATTTTATTTTGGTATACCTTTTCCAGGTACATTAGCCTGTGACCACGGAAATTGACGAAGTCAAGTGCTGGATTAGTACGGAGAGATCGAGACAGGAGGTACTGGATAGAGAGACCGGGATGGTTTTTAATGTGAAGACAACAACAACAACAACAACAACAGTGATGGGGCTGGTAGGATATATGCCTTCTTGTGGTGAGTGAGGACGTAACCAGGCCTCTGAGCTTTGTGGCATCTGTGCGTGCCGCAGACATATGGAGCGGTCACGACTTTGCGAGATGGAATGCACGTGGCACCCCCGGTCAAGTTTGGCGCGTGGCCTGAGAACTTGACTTGTTTGCCCATGCATTTTGGTGCTCTGCGTCGCACTTTTTTTTTTTGTATTTTTCAGGGTCGCCGTGTGAGTTTCTTTTGGGTTGTGAATCGGACCCGATTCGCTTGATTAAATCGGTCCGATTAAAGCAAAATCGGGATCGGAAAATGGGGACGATTGTTGTTGTTGTCTTGACATTAAAACCGTTCCGATCTCTCTCTACCCAGTACCTTCGTATGTCCGTACTGATACAACACTCGACGCGGTCGATTCCCGTGGTTGCAGGCTAACTTACCCTAAAAAGGTACACTCAAATAGAATGGCCCCGGTGTCATTTCCGATATATTTGGAATATTATAGTGTTTAGAGGCTGCTGCTGAAGCGCAGCCGCATTCTAAACCCACGAGGGGGAGCCTCGTCCGTACATGAGGCCGTATGCACATAGTTTTCATAGGTGGGAAGACATACACACGCACACATGACCCTGGGGGCGAAAAACACAAAATTTGTGGAGGGTGGGTGTGTGTGTGTTTTTTTATTTTCGTAATATCACACAACAAATCCATCTCTTTCTATTGAAATAAGTCTAAGATAGACTAGCAATGAATCCATAGCGTGAGCGAAAGGCTACCTGTATGTCTACGGTTTCCCAGACAGCATACAACGATATCTCCCCTGTGGGTAACAGGCTCAATAAGGCAGTTTGGTAGCCATCTTGTGTATCTATGTGTATGTTATGTTGGGAAGTTGTAGACGGAAGATTTAGGGGAACTCGGTTTGTCGGGTGTGTTCAATTATGGCACCCTTATGTGTTTGCGGAGCAAGCGCGTCTCGGGGTGTGTATATTTTCGTCATCAACTTATTTTTTGTGTGTTTTGTGTTTTTTTTGTATTTTTGCTGTTTTTCGGTGCGCACACGCTGCGTGCCTATATCTTGATCATGAGCGAAGAAGCGTCCATGGACCAACAGCGACCCACGACAAGCCCCACATGGCCAGAGAGCGGCGCCTGCAGTAGTGATGCGGCGGCCGCGGGCGCAACCGCTGAAGAGCAAGCACTCGCGGAATGTGGTGCCGCCGTTGCGCGTCGTTGTTTTGTTTTGTTCATTGCTCACTGTTCAGCTCTGCTTGTGTAGCTGTCTGCTGCTCGTAGGTACATAGGTAGCAGCACGTGCCTGCACTTCTTGTTTTTCCCGTTGTTTTTTTGTGTGTGTTTTTTCCCATTTTTTCTCCATGTAGTGAAGTTCATTCCGGTTCAACAACACTAGATTCGCGCTGATTTTAAAGGGGAATGAAGCCGAATGGCCCAAAGTTTCGGCTGCCTCAGTGAGAGGGAGCGGTGGCGTCGCGGGTGGGTGTGCTGATTTCGAAAAAAAAATTCTGAAAAAAAAGTCGAAATGAAAGCTTGGTGTGGGCTTGGTGTGGACGCGCTGCTCTCCTCTTCACTGGACCAGCCCACTTGCTTCCACGTCGCTCCGGGTGAGAGCAGTTGCCACGTCCAAACAACTTTGAGCTCAATCGGCAGTCTAGCGGACGAGCAGTTGAAAGTGATGTGCTCTGGTGTGAATATTCAAGTGCGGTGTCTCTGTATGAGCTGCACACGCGAGCGATGCGTTAGGTGATGAGGCGGTTTATGTGTGCACACTTGATGACCAACACCGTTACCAATACTAGGTCGCAGGATGAAAGGGTAGTTTGGCTGGGCTTGCTCGCAGCCATCGGTGAGGGCGCTACGGTCAGTACTTGCTGTGTATTCGTGATTCCCGTCGCAGGAAACATGTGTTCAGTACATGATGTTCAGACTGGTTCAGGGGTTCGTATGCATGCATACGTCATTTTCTCGCCCGAGAAAACACCTGAGCTGATCCGGCTCTTTGGGGGCAAACTCGGAACCTTTGGGAAAAACACCTGAGCCAAACACCTGAGCCATTGAGAAAATTTCCATGAAACTCCCGAAACTCTGAACAGTCGTCCATAAAATACGATATAAAAACGGTTCATTCAGGGTTCTTAGTTTGTGCAACAAGCACTCGCCGATCTACGGTAGAAACGCACGTCATCATTAGTGGCCGTAAGTCCAGTGCATTCATTTAGATGTCGTGTTCTCGTTGCATGCTTGCTTTTCTTTTTTCGGGGCGAAGCGACTGTTTTTCTCGACCAGGCCCACTGCAGATCGCAGAAAAGTCAATGGCGGCGAAAAGCGGCTGGCTTGGACGGGTGCCCGGCGTCCTAGGCGGTCTCCTGGTAGCTGCTCTCATTGCCGCCCCCGTTGACGCGGCCGGAACAGTAGCGTTCGCCAACGGGAGGTCTATCGACGCCGACGCCAACGCCGCTATGGCTGTGGTTGCTGCAGACATTGACTCGGACGGCGACTTGGATGTCCTGGTCGCAAAACTCATGAGTTACGACGAAAGGACGGTCATATGGTATGAGAACGTGGACGGCGAAGGAACGTTTTCGGAAGGTGTGGCGATCTCCGATGACCGCGAGTCAGCAGCAGGGTGAGAACTGGTTGACATGCAGCACAAAATATCAGCAAGACTTGGCATACATATGAACTTGTATGCAAATCTTTCTTCTAAAAAAGCTCGTACGTGAGACATGACGTCATGAAGTGCACACCCACGTACCACAAATGTTGCGGTTCATCCCCCTTTGTAAACGAACTAACAGTCCCAGAAGGATGCACGTTTACGCTTGCTTGGAGGCAAGGCACTGGTCCACGCATTAGCTAGGTAGGTGTGTCGCTTGTTGCTGCTGCAATCACGGTAACTGTGTGTTGTGAGTGCATGGGGTTGCTTCCTCGGGTGGTGCTTGAAAGACATCCGATGAGCTGTGCACTTAGCTTGCGCCTCACGCACGGACATGCGGAAAGCAGCAGCTTCTTTGGACTCCGTTTGAGTGAGGCCGGCAAAAAAAAAAAGAGTTTCACAAACCAACGCAGAAAAAAGTTGACCTCTGTTTGCGCCTAGCATTAAATGTTCCACCCGAGTGATCCGTTCGCCGCTGAGCAAATCCTAACCGCATCTTGAACACTGGCTACACCCCCTCTTTATATGAATCCATGTGAATGTTAATAAAAGTCGGTTCTCTCATTACATGATGGATTCTATGCTTAGCAAGCCTTCATGGTGGAATGATAGTGTCCAACCCGAAAGCCTTTCCCCCCGCTCCAAGACCGACTCCCCGATCACTCACCTTCTCTCTTCCGCGTTGTCGTTCGATAATGTCCCGTAGGTCAGTCGCGGTTGCAGACCTGAACGGTGACGGCTTTCCCGATGTTGTAGTGGCGTTCCCCTACAGCGACACGGTGACTTGGTACAGGAATTCTGACGGCCTCGGAAGTTTTTCACTCGGTGTTGACATTGCCACGGATACCGACGGTGCCTGGGTAGTCAAGTGCGCTGATGTCGACGGCGACGGTGACTTCGACATCATTTCTGTGTCATCATTCGATGGTGCGTACATGTGTCAGTGAAGCACGCGTGTCGTTGCGCGGCTCAGAAATGGCAAGCTCTGCATCGTAGTGGAGGCATTCGACTCGACCTCGCTGCCTCGACCGTGCGTATGTGAAGAAAAGCGTGCCGCCGGAGGGGGCGGCGGCGGGTAGAGCGTAGGAGAGAATGACAGCAGGAAGCACTCGATTTGAAACAATTCTGATGAGTGAGGTGCTATACCCCTAAATTACATCGCGTCGCCCCACTTCTCCAGGTGATCGAGGGGGCTATCGCGGAATCGAATGTCGATCATAGCTTTTTGTAGCGTTTTCCCGCTGTAACCCGCACTGAGACTTACGTATTTCCATTGGTCAATCGACTACAGTAGCGCGGGCGATGCTGGTAACAACACACACACACACACACACACACACACATACACACACCTGAGCGGTGTCATACTTGCTTCCCTGTGTCATACTCAAATTTGAACTGTAGCTTCGGAACAAACGCCGCAGATCGAGTTACTTGGTACGAGAACACCGACGGAGAGGGAACGTTCGCTGTCGGCCTCGACATTTCAGCCACGTCGAGTGGGGCGGACATGGCAGTCGCAGCCGATATTGACGGCGACGAGGCTGTCGACATCGTGGTCGCATCCTTCGACGACGATCGTGTGACGTGGTTCAAGAACACGGACGGGAAGGGGGCGTTCGCGCTGGGCGTGGATCTGGCGCAGGATGCCAATGGAGCGACGTGAGTTTCAAGCATTTCCCTCTGCTGCATTTTTGGTTTTCGGTGGTTGTTGCAATCGTCTCTCCAAAATCGAGGCAGCGTGTGTACGGACGCTCCATCATCGTCAAAGGAAGTTTTTTTTTCGGAGTTTGAAAATGTCGCTACTGTTGTCCTTGAAGCGATTGTCAGCACATTTTATTATTCTCTTCCATGAGACATCTCATGAGCATTTTATGACACGTCTCGTGAACGCTCATGAAAACTCATGAACGCTCATCATAGCTTTCCACGAGACGAAGACCATGGGATGACATGAACCCTTGTGAGACGTCCCCTGGTGAGATATCACTAGAAATTTCACCGAAGCCCACCCAACAAGTGCGGCGCAGCCGCGTTCATGGCCAGTTTTCCCCACGATGCCCTCCGCTGGCCGGTTGTCAGGGTCAGGGTGTTATAAGATGTACTCTCAGCCGAGTACTTGGTTAACCTTTTACCAAGTGGCTGAGTGGTCTATTCCCGTAACATTATGGCGTCGTCGGCAGGACTGATAACAAGGGGTTGATAGGGCTGGGTTGGGTTGGGTTAAATGGGGTTGGGTCGGCGTGTGCCTTGTGGCTCACACTTCACAATCGTATTTCACGAACGTCCATGGTGAAACGTCTCATAAAACCTTCCGCAAAAATTCCATGAACCGTCTCCTTGAGATTCATAAAATGTGTCAATGAGAACTGACGGCACACGTGAATGACTGCGCCCGTGAGCGTTTATGAAACATGTCGATTTACCATAGCGTTCATGAGCTTCCATGACACATCTCATGAAGCTCGTGTCGTGATACACGTTATGGTTATTCATGGGAGCTCGTGGCCGTTCGTGAGCGCTCATGGAACGTTCCATGTATGTAGGACAACGTGTATGCCCCCCCCCTTAATCGCACATCCAGACGTCGCAGCGACGCGTGTAACGTAAATTCACTTGGTTTTCGTTTGGCACTACATGGCGATTGCGTCGTTCCTACTTCTTGGTCTTGCCGATCCTGCGGAGCAACTACTGTAACTGATACTCCCGTGAACTTGAGGTCAACAGACTACTATTGGTTTCGCATTTCGATGTTTCCGGATTACGTGCGTGTGCATCTTCTCACAATGAATGCCAATAATATAAAAGGTATGTCGCTGCGGGAGATCTCGATGGAGACGGTGACCTCGACGTCGTATCAGGGTCCTACTACGATGGGCGTGTCACCTGGTATGAGAATACCGATGGCGCGGGCACCTTTGCGGTCGGGCAGGACATCGACATTTTACCTTCAGTGGCGAGTGCTGTCGCGGTGGATCTGGACAGCGACGGAGACATGGACATAGTCGTCTGTGATTTTGACGGCGGGGGCATCGTGTGGTACGAAAACACCGACGGGCAAGCGACCTTTTCGACGGCCATCGACATCGCCGTCGACGTTGGCGTGTTTGAGGTGAGCCGACTGCTTGCATTCTTCGCGGACAAGAAGGCCGCAACGCTGGTGACTCAATGCATAATAGCGTGTTGTTAACCCGTCCGGCCGGAAGGATCATCCATGTGCCAAGCCGGGTGGACGTATGTTTTCGTGTGCGGCTGTGTTTCATCGAATACTAGCGGTCTACGCAACAAACCCCGCTACATTGTGAGGTGACAGGATTGACATACATTCATTCTTGGTTTATCTAGTGGCCAACAGGCTCGCTTGTGCATTGTTTTTGTTTGAACACGCATAGCTGCCCCCCCGCCTGCTACATATATACACGCGGCTTTTGGTTCACTTAGTCTTTTTTCGTAGATGACGAGGACTTGTACCCCCCGGACGAAGACGCAGGTCATTGTTGTCGAGACCAAGTGATATCCACTTTTCCCACTCACAGACGCCCCTTCGCTTGTGTCTGACACGTATGCGTTGAAACGAACGTTTGAGCAGGTGATCGCGGTTGACCTCGACGGGGACGGTGACCTGGACCTGTTGTCCGCCTCGAAGGAGAGTGACCGTGTGATCTGGTATGAGAACCTCTTTGACGGCGAAGTTTCAACGCCATCCCCACTCTCCGACAATGTCCCAACGCCCGGCCCAGCCCCAGTGATCGTTTCCACTGACGTCCCCGCTCCGAGCCCACCGACGACTTCGCCCCTGACGCCGGCTCCCATCACTGACGACCCGGCTCCGAGCCCACAGACGACTTCGCCCCTGGCGCCGGCTCCCATGACGAGTTCTACCGAAGGCAATCCATCACCATCACCCGAACAACAACCTTCCGGTACCGGTGAGGTTATTGCCGCTGTTGTTGCTGTCTCAAAACCCGACAACCTTCTACTTTCTGCGTGCTGACACGTTTTTACCATGCCGTACATGGCTCCGTCCCGATCCCCCCATGTCTTTTCCGCGCAGTGGTATCCAACCGAACCTCTGCAAGCAACAGGTTTCCCCGTCGACACGCCCGCCCGCGGCTGTAGACGTGGAACCTGCGCCGACCTCAAATACGACTTGGGAATGGAGGGCTCCTCGGATTTATTTTTTCTTTAGCTCATCTCATCATTCGCCCCTACTCGCAGAGAAAACTATACAAAAAACAAAGGAACGATCCGGGAAGTACTACTACTACTACTACTACTGTAATTTCTATCAGCAGTGAGTGGTTTTGTCCATTACTTGGTCTTGGAAAATGGAGCATACTCGTGAGGAAACCAAGAAAAGTAGCTAAAGATCTCCTGATTGATCTTTTGATGGCGTGATCGATGCAGAAGGCGTCCGGAGACATGATGTCTGATTATCTTATTATACGCCGCGCCGTGTATATACGTTGCGCATACATCCATACATACATGCGCAGGCCCGTTGCACCCACGCGCGGAAAATGACATCTAATCGGCTGGTGGTCTGGTAATTAATCAAAAATACGACAGAGGAGCGTATATAAGCGTGCGTGCGTGTATTTCACCTCCTTTGTCTGCACTTTTCTAGGAAAACAACAACGCCAGCACACACCGCGTGCAGCTTTGGCCAATGTTGCGTAGCATAGTGATGTACGTTGAGTAGTTAAATTGCCGATGCTTGTTGTGTGTAGTTAACCGCTGCTTGTCTGCATGCAATCTTTGGGAACAAAGAAGAGTAGTCGCTGCTGTATTCATGCGCTCTCTAACCGCATTACAAAGTAGCACACAACAGGACGTGGACTAGGTAGATTCAAGCCCGTTGAAGATCCATTTTTTTCGGCAAAACAGCAAATATCTGAACTCGGAAATTTAGATGTGTTTGCTGGGTGGGCTGGTTGCGAATAACGTGCCGAGTTGCGACTACATAGATAGCGATACCAGTTTAGCGTGTTAGGCTCGGGGTATTAATTGCTGTGTTTTTATAAAGAAATCAGGAAATCGAAGGTGAACCTCCCCACATTAGAGACGGGCGGACTCCGTGTTTTTCTTTGAGCGCTCCATTATTCAGACTATTCGTTGTTAAAATATCAAAAAAGGTACATATATGTAGTTCTGTTCTGTAGTATGTACTAAAAGATCAAGAACACGATTTCCACAACCTGTAGCTTACTTTTATTGCAACCGGGGTAAAATGGCCGCCCGGCCCTGGGGCACCAGAAACTCGAGGTCGCACGCACCGCCATCACATAGCCCTACGTACAATCCAAGCACCTTAAATGGCGCTCGATGGGGAGTAAGGTGCCTTTCATTCAAGGGCGCTTGACTTAAGTTTGGGTTGACGTCGTTCCTCTCCGTCTAGTCCAGCCTAGGCTTCATTGCGAGGCTTTGGAAGCTTACAAATCCCCATGCACGTTTGTCGTGTTTGCTGCCCCTGTAGTGGAACCTTCACCTGTGGGGGAAACGCTACCACCGTCGGTTGACTCAGCTGCCAATGTCGACGACGACAACGACGACGATGATGGGCTTTCTGGAGGCGCAATTGCTGGAATAGCAGTGGCTGCAGTGGCTGCGGTGGTAGGTGGGGGGGGATGCATCAACTTCCATTATCACAGCAGTCGAAGCTCATGAGTCATGAGTCGGCTGTAGTCATGGCGTCTACTTGTCGTCGCGTCCTGGACAAACTAACGTGAATAATACGCAAATTACGAACCAAACGCCACAACAGACAAAATGCGTGATGATGGTACCCCGCTCACTGGGCCAATTTTTATGAGAGAAATGAGAAGAACAAGTTTTATTCTTGTTTCGACATCAGCGGAAACTGCTGTGTCGCACAACAAACGTTTCTAAATTGAACTCTGTATGTCCTGTCGTGATATCCTTGATTGATCGATTTGTCAGCGACGAAAGGTGGTCCAGTTGTTCGACCCGTTCCGCGAACCCTGTCTACCGAGTATAGCGCCTTCCTTGTTTTATTGAACCTTTCCGTACGACAAACCCTTTCAGCGGGGATTGGTTTTGGTGCAAGTTTGCTATGCACCTCATCGTGGTGAAATATTACTGTCACGGGAGTCTTTGTGGTGGAAAGGGTCGCGAGTGGTACGGTCCTGCCCGATCCGAGTGGCCCGAACGCGTATTACTTGCCGAGTTCAAGCGCGACGTTTGGCCTCCGAGTTGTTTTGGCGTGATTGGAGTGGTCTTTGTGGTGGAAAGGGTCGCGAGTGGTACGGTCCTGCCCGATCCGAGTGGCCCGAACGCGTATTACTTGCCGAGTTCAAGCGCGACGTTTGGCCTCCGAGTTGTTTTGGCGTGATTGGAGTGGTCTTTGTGGTGGAAAGGGTCGCGAGTGGTACGGTCCTGCCCGATCCGAGTGGCCCGAACGCGTATTACTTGCCGAGTTCAAGCGCGACGTTTGGCCTCCGAGTTGTTTTGGCGTGATTGGAGTGGTCTTTGTGGTGGAAAGGGTCGCGAGTGGTACGGTCCTGCCCGATCCGAGTGGCCCGAACGCGTATTACTTGCCGAGTTCAAGCGCGACGTTTGGCCTCCGAGTTGTTTTGGCGTGATTGGAGTGGTCTTTGTGGTGGAAAGGGTCGCGAGTGGTACGGGCCTGCCCGGTCCGAGTGGCCCGAAGGCGTAGTAATAGTTTTTTTTTGCGAAAAGAGTGGCCCGAATAGGGGTACGCTTTTTGTTTTGCAAAAAAAAAGCTGTTTAGAGGGATCGTGTGTGGATGTATGTGCGCACGAGAAAAAGAATAATCTTCATGCACAGGGGCGTGAAAAAGACGCAATGGCTGTCTGTCTGTCTGTCTGTCTGCGCGCCCTAAATAACCCAGCAGACTCGAGCCCATTTCACCATCTCGGCACCAAATTGCAAACTAAAACTTGCGCACAACAAGTAACATTTTGCCCAAGCTGTCCCAACCGCTACCTTTGCAATCCGTGGTCGGTGTCTCGAGATAGCACACCGTTTGTGCAATTTTATATGTCACATGGACGCATCCCCGACTTCTCGGGCGGGAGGCGTCATTTTTGTTTTTTGGGCTACAAACTACACGCACGCAAGAAACCACGACGCACTGCCGTGCTGCACACACTGCTGCTGCTACTGGCAAGACACGCACTACACAGACAGGCAACATGGACAAGGGGGGCGGGACACACACACATACTGCTGTTAGCGACGGCGGAGGAAGCGGGGAACGTTTGGTTGGTCTGGGGTTCATCGCTGATGATGTTGTTGTTGTTGTTTCCGTTGGTTGTTAACTGTTGTTGTTCAACGCTGCCGGCCTTTTCGCCTTTTCNCAGAGAGCGGGACGGGAGCAGGGTGTGCCGTATGCTGCTGTTAGCTTTCGGCGGAAGAAGCGAGAGGAGAGATATGGATTGGGTCTCTGTGGGTCCATCGGTTGGTTGTTGTTGTTGTGTTGCGACGCGGCGGGAGGGAGCGGCCTCTGACTCTGCTCTGGAGAGAGGCACACATACATGACAGCACGGAACCAGTAACACATCACGCTCGTTCCTAGACGATGTAGTACCACTGCTGTGCTGTGCACCTCTCTACACTCATTGTGGGCGAGAGGGTGTGTCGCCTCTGCTGCTGCTGCTGTTGCTGTTATCTAAAGCGGTGGCGGAAGCGTCCTGTTCAAACAAGCAGCAGCAGCAGCACCAGCCGGGGAATTTTTTAAGAGCAGTGGCCAAAATCGGGTACACCCGGCCCCAATCCGGCCATTATCGGGTACACTTGTTTTTCACAGTCGGCAACACCCTCCTGGCGCCATCTGATTGGCCGACGCCCGCCCCAACCCGGCCCTGGCCCTATTCCCACCGGCCACCGGGTGCACCCGATTTTGGCTACTCACCCCCCGCAGGGGTACCCGATCTTACTCTCGCCTACCCGAAAATGGCTGGGCTATTCGACCAACAGACCAACAACAGCAGACCACGCTCACGAACACACGTCACCAACACCCCGCACTCGAGTTCCGACGCTTCCGACGGCGGGCGTAGGGCAGAGGCGAACCTAACGCGGCTAAGGGCCGTTTTAAACGGACCGACTTTTTTGTCAAAATTTTCGACATTTGTCTTTCAAAAACTTGGAACCTGTGTGTAACGCGGCGGAACTCTCGTTTGAAGTGGATGTCTCTCCTGCAAGCCTCCTCCTGCAACCCACCGCCGACGGCGGAACTCTCTCGGTTCTCGTAGATCTCGCTTCTACAAGTAGATCTCGCTCTTGAACTCACCAAGTCTCTCGTGGTTAATCTCGGCACTCTTGCCTGAACGGTAGACTGGCATCGGCAGAACATGAGCGATGAAGTACCAGTAGTAGTGAACACCGCGGTCCTCAGACGGCCGTTCATTCGTTGCGGGCAAGAACAGCGGGGGCAGGCAGAAGACTTACCGGTGCGCGGGCCGGAGGCTGCAATGCACAAGTCCGCGCCTACAAGGGTGCCGACGGAGTGTGGAAGGTGCACACGATTGACGCCGCACACACCGACTGCTCCGGCGGCAATACGAAGGGGANATTCGTTGCGGGCAAGAACAGCGAGGGCAGGCAGAAGACTTACCGGTGCGCGGGCCGGAGGCTGCAATGCACAAGTCCGCGCCTACAAGGGTGCCGACGGAGTGTGGAAGGTGCACACGATTGACGCCGCACACACCGACTGCTCCGGCGGCAATACGAAGGGGAGGACCGCTGCTCTCCAACACCTGGCCTCCACAGCCGTGAAGGACCATTCGTCCATGAATGGCAAGGAGCTCAAGCGTAAGCTGGAGCGGAACACAGGGATCAATGTCGCCCACCGGACGGCAAACCGGATGAAGATGACAGCAAGGGACGGCGACAAAGCGACGACGGCGGCTGGGTACCAGCTGCTGGTTTTTTTCTGTGACCTGCTTCAACAGCAGTGCCCTGGTTCGGTCGCGGAAACCCAGGTGAGAGATGTTTTCTCTCGACTCGTGGTCTGCGCATGCAGCAAAATGTGTGGCTAGGACCTTACTGATGCAAACGTGTGGTGTGTGGTGTCCACGGGCGACCGGTGTTGGTGATATGGCCACTACATGATGTACTTCTAAGAGTACAGCTCTCAACAGCACAGCCCTCAACAGCACAGCTCTCAACAACAGCA